TTTATGAACAAAACGATTTTGTAAACGTTTCATGAACTTTTACTAAAAATTAAAAACTTTTTATGCAATTATCAGTAATAAAAGACAAGGTTGTTTACAATGAATATACACTGGTTTAGAGATTCGAGACAAAGCATAATTCATTCTTCAATGTTGATGTGGAGAGAATTTGATGTGGAGAGAATTTTTTCTTCTGTGAATGCAATCAAAACTAAAGAAAGAAATAGGTTGCACACATAGTCAGTCTGCGGTATTCTAAAAGTTAAGCAAGGAGTGAAAGAATCAGGAGGCTGTGTTAAATATTCTCCTTCGACCAATGCTTTAAATCGTATGCAGTGCTGTAGAAGGGGGCTCTTCAAGGAGGAGCCCCCCTTCTATCTTTGAAATGGGTAATTTTTCATAATTTCATGACTTTAGCTTCGTCAAGAGAGCCCCCTCTGATAAATTTAGTTCTACAGCACTGGTCGTATGACATCCGACATTCTTTATGCTCAAGACTCTGACTCAAGCGACGAATCTGAATCAAACTAAATACAAATGTGCAATTTGCATCATTCTAAATTTACGTGTGATTTATCTTATTTCATTCATTTGGTGCAAATTATGCAATTTTTGTCGATTTGTGAGCATTGGTGGATAATATGTGAACTTTTTGAACATGCCGACATGAACTTAAAATTTTTCTGGCAACACTGACTTTTATCGTAATAAAACTTACTTTTATGTTTAAAGTGTTTTCTTTGCTGAAATATATCGTAATACGAACATAGAATTCTATTGGCTACGCTACTTGCAATCTATTTTTCAATAAATAACGAGTAACGAATGATAACGCATCAAGAATTCCAATAAACAAATAGCGAGTAGCGAAAAATAAACATCGGGCTGTTGACACATTCCTGTGTTTGTCTTAGGTTTCTGATTCATAAAGTGATTTTTATTTCATAAAGCAATTCTTGAGAAGAGTAAAGTTGCTACTATCGTTTTAAGATATCTAAATTTAAATTTGATCAACGTAACTAAACATGCATTGAACAAGAGTCATTCATAAAGTATTAAAGAAAAATATAACAACCCTTGGGCCTTTTCTATATGAATACTAGTATTCTTCTACTAAAACAATTAGTTGTTAAATATATGACGAATGTCAAGTGTCTACATTACTTACATATTATTTCCTACGATGTGTATCAAATATTTCAAATAATAATACTTGTAGCACAAGAATAAAATTTAACAGGAATTTTCAATTTTTAATTGAAGTGATAATTCTATTGGCAGCAGCCAATGCAAACGAAATTTCAAGGCCTCAAAATCGCTAGCGTCTTGTCATTGAGAATTTGGGTGACTATTTTTGCCTTGAAAAGTCAGCAAAATTATTTTTGTCAACTTCCTTTTCAGCTAGATAGCACAAACAAGAACTAACAAGAACAAACAAGTTCTTTTTACTATTTTACAGACCGTGTCGATCGTATGAGTTGACTCAACCAGAATTTACAAACCTGAAGTGCATGAAAATAATGTTTAGAACTTCTGTTGCTATAATACTGCTTGTTTTTATTGGTAGCTACTACCTTTTATATACAAAAAATTATATAATTCAGTTTAATATTATATAATTACATTAATATATAATATTAAAATTTTATAAAGAATAATTAAAAATGATATGATTATATTAATTTTATTATACCATTAATTATTAATAATAAATAATATAATAAATTTAATTATAATAATGGTTATATTAATCACAATTAATATAAGTAATTGAAATATAATTTTAATATTATATTTATGCATGAACTTTAGTCTTTGTGTGAAAATTGGTGAAATGCGTGACTTATAGTCTTTGGTGTGAAAGTTGGTGATATGCGTGAATTATAGTCTTTGGTGTGAAAATTGGTGAAATCCGTGAATTATAGTCTTTGGTGTGAAAATTAGTTAAATGAGTGAATTATAGTCTTTGGTGTGAAAATTGGTGATATGCATCAATTAAGGTCTTTTGTGTGAAAATTGGTGATATGCTTGAATTATAGTCTTTGGTATTAAAATTGGTGATATGCTTGAATTATAGTCTTTTGTGCGAAAATTGGTGTTATGCGTAAATTATAGTCTTTGGTGTGAAAGTTGGTGAAATACGTGAAATATTGTCTTTGGTGTGAAAATTGGTGATTTGCTTGAATTGTAGTTTTTTGAGTGAAAATTGGTGAAATGCGTGAGTTATAGGCTTTGTGTGGAAATTGGTGATATGCATAAATTATAGTCTTTGTTATGATAATTGGTGAAATACGTGAATTATAGTCTTTGGTATGAAAATTGGTGAAATCCGTGAAATATGGTCTTTGGTGTGAAAATTGGTGAAATCCGTGAATTATAGTCTTTGGTGTGAAAATTAGTTAAATGAGTGAATTATAGTCTTTGGTGTGAAAATTAGTGATATGCATCAATTAAGGTCTTTTGTGTGAAAATTGGTGATATGCTTGAATTATAGTCTTTTGTGCGAAAATTGGTGTTATGCGTAAATTATAGTCTTTGGTGTGAAAGTTGGTGAAAGACGTGAAATATTGTCTTTGGTGTGAAAATTGGTGATTTGCTTGAATTGTAGTTTTTTGAGTGAAAATTGGTGAAATGCGTGAGTTATAGGCTTTGTGTGGAAATTGGGGATATGCGTAAATTATAGTCTTTGTTATGATAATTGGTGAAATACGTGAATTATAGTCTTTGGTATGAAAATTGCTGAAATCCGTGAAATATGGTCTTTGGTGTGAAAATTGCTGAAATTCGTGAAATATTGTCTTTGGTGTGAAAATTGGTGAAATGCATGAATTGGAGACCTTGTGTGAAAATTGGTGATATGCATGAACTTTAGTCTTTGGTGTGAAAATTGGTGAAATGCGTGACTTATAGACTTTGGTGTGAAAATTGGTGAAATGCGTGACTTATAGTCTTTGGTGTGAAAATTGGTGAAATGCGTGACTTATAGTCTTTGGTGTGAAAATTGGTGAAATGCGTGACTTATAGTCTTTGGTGTGAAAATTGGAGATATGCATCAATTTTAGTCTTTGGTATAAAAATTGGTGAAATGCATGAATTATAGTTTTTTGAGTGAAAATTGGTGAAATGCGTGAATTATAGTCTTTGTTGTGAAAGTTGGTGATATGCGTGAATTATAGTCTTTTGTGTGAAAATTGGAGATCATCATCATCATCATCATCAGCCTGTCACGCCACTGCTGGCGGATGGCCTCCACATCTTTCTCCACTCTTTACGGTCTTGGGCTCTCTGGGTCCACATGCTGCCCGCTCTCTGCTCGATGTCATCTCTCCATCTCCTTTTTGGTCTTCCCTTGCCTCTTTTCTTGTCCCACGGGGTCCATTCAGTTGTTTTCTTTGCCCATTCATGATTTTTCATTCGGGCTAGATGTCCTGCCCACTTTCCTTTGGCTTTATTAACTTTCTCGATGACATCCTTCACTTTTGTTCTTGCTCTCAGGTCTTCATTCCGGATCTTATCTCTCCTCGTGACACCGAGCATTGATCTTTCCATACTTCTTTGGGTGATTGCCAGTTTCTCTCTTTGATGGTTGGTAAGTGCCCACGTCTCTGCTCCATAAGTCATTGCTGGTAGTATGACAGTGTCCATGATCTTCCTTTTGAGACACATGGGCATTCTTTGATCTCTCATGAACATGCTGTACTGTCCAAATCTCTTCCAAGCTGATGTTATTCTCTCATCTATTTCTCTCGCCATCTCATTTCCTGGTGTTAGTAGTCTTCCCAAATACTTGTACTCTTCAACCTCTTCCAGCCGTTCTCCATCAATCGATATTCCTTTTCTTCTCCTTTTCTTTGCTATTTCATTGCACATGATCTTTGTCTTCTTTTGTTCATTTTCATTCCATCTTTCCTCCTTCTTCGTTCAGATCGTTCAAAAGTTTGCTGAGGTGTTCTTCCTTTTCAGCAAATAAGATGATATCATCTGCAAATCTCAGGTTGTTCATCCTCTCTCCATTGATGTTAATTCCCACTTCAACTTCCATTCTACTGAATATTTCTTCCAGCGCTGCTGTAAACATCACTGGTGACAAGGTGTCTCCTTGCCTCACTCCCTTCATGATCTTGATTTTTCGGCTAGTTGATTCAGTTCGAATCTGAGCTGTGCTTCCATTATATGTTTCTTTTAAGATGTTGATGTACTTTTCCTGTACGCTGTGCTGTTTTAGCGCCTCAAAGACAGCCTTATGCTGGATGGAGTCAAAGGCTTTTCATAGTCTACAAATGCCATGTGGATGGGTATTTTATACTCATTGGTTTTCTCAGTATTTGCACAACTGACTGCAGATGGTCGATGGTGGAATGACCTCTTCTGTAGGCTGCTTGTTCTGGTGGTTGGTGGTCACTAAGGGTGTTGTTTAATCTATTTTTCAAGATCTTCATGAAGAGTTTGTAGACTTGAGAGAGTAAGCTGATTGGTCTGTAGTTTGCGAGGTCTTTCTTGTCTCCCTTCTTAAATATGAGTGTGATGATGGCATTTTTCCACCCATTTGGCACTATTTCTTCAGTCATCACTCTATTGAAGAGCGTCCTCAGCTTCGATCTGACCACTTCGCCTCCCGCTTTTAGCATTTCAATCACAACCTGATCTTCTCCTGGTGCTTTGTTGTTCTTCATACTTTTCATTGCGTGCTCAATTTCACTGTCAAGGATCGGTGGAACATCCTCTGCCTCTTCTTTTCTGATGTTCTGGGCTGCATCTTGGTATAAGTTTTCATAAAATTCTGCGCACCTCTCCAGAATTCTCTCCCTGTTATTGATGACGGTTCCATCTTGTTCCTCTAAAGTTGGTATAAGAACCTTGCAGCCTTCTTTCTCTTTAGCTCTCTTCAATCCTTTCCCACTCTCAATTGCTTCCTTCACTCGCATGGTGTTGTGCTCTCTGAGGTCTTCTCTCATTCTCTTCCTGATGGTCTTACAAAGTTTATTGTACTCTCTTCTCTCCTAGTCATTCAGATCTCTCTTTGCCATTTCTCTTCTCTCTTTCAACAGTTCTTTTGTTTCAGGCTTGAGCTTTTCCTCTTGTCGTCTTTCAACTCTTCCATCTGTTTCCATGGCACATTCTTTGATAGTCTTTGTGATGTTAAGGGCCATTTCCTCCACACTGTCTTCTTGTAAGGTTTCGAAGCGGTTCTGCAACTTCAGTCGGAATTCAGTCTCTTTTAGCTTCAACGCGTTGGTGTTGATGTTGACCTTCGCACCCTTCGGCCTCATCATTTCCATTCTCTCCAATCTTACATTCATCTTGATCTTGCTTCTGATCATTCTGTGATCACTGCCGATGTTTACTCTTGTGATCACGTTAACATTCTGGATCATGCTCTTGTTTGCCAGTATGTAATCGATCTCATTCCTTATTTCTCCATTTGGACTTCTCCATGTCCACTTTCTGGTCTTTCTTTTTCTGTAATAAGTGTTTGCGATTTTCAAGCCTTTTGATTTTGCAAATTGCACCAGTCTGGTTCCTCTTTCATTTCTTTCTCCTAGGCCAAAATTCCCGACCGTTGCTCCGTCGCTCCTATGGTGTTTTCCAACCTTTGCGTTGAAGTCGCCCATTACGATCTTAAATTGACTTCTGTTGTTATCCATTGATCTTTCAATCTCTTCATACAACTCTTTAACTTCTTCGTCGCTGTGACTTGATGTTGGTGCATACACTTGTATCACTTGTAGTTGGTATTTGCTGTTCACTTTCAGTGTAAGCGATGTCACTCTGCTACTCTCTCCTTCGTACTCTACAACTCGGTCCTTGATGTTCTTGTGAACCAGAAACCCAACTCCTCTGACAGATTCATTCCCTCCTTTTGTGTACAGTACATGCCCACTTTGCAACTGCTTCAGCTGCTCTCCTTTCTTTCTTGTTTCTGACAGTCCAATGATGTCCCACTTGAAACCTGTCAGCTCTTGCTCCAATTCCTCCTCTTTCTCTGGATCTTTCAACGTTCTCACGTTGTACGTGCAAACAATCAGCTGCACTTTGGAAACCCGGGGATTCTTAGCACCCTCTGCCTTTCGGCTGCCGGAGACTGAGGGCCATTGTGTGTTGAGTGTGTCCATTTTGTGGGTGTGAACCATGACTCACCACGCTGGTTCAGTGCGGATTGGTGAGTTGCCTGCATCCCTGAGGCACAGGGATGCAGGGCTATGCGGCAGGTAGTACGAGGTTACATTTTTACTCATAGCAGGTTTAAGAGCCTGACCTGACAATTCACGCATATTAATTGACAATTGATATTCGTGAATATTGACGATTGATATGCGTGAATATTGACAATTCACGCATATAATTCACGCATATTTGTGATATGCGTGAATTATAGTCTTTTGTGTGAAAATTGGAGATATGCATCAATTATAGTCTTTGGTATGAAAATTGGTGAAATGCATGGATTATAGTTTTTTGAGTGAAAATTGGTGAAAAACGTGAATTATAGTCTTTAGTATAAAAATTGGTGAAATGCATGAATTGGAGACCTTGTGTGAAAATTGGTGATATGCATGAACTTTAGTCTTTTGTGTGAAAATTTGTGATATGCGTGAATTATAGTCTTTTGTGTGAAAATTGGAGATTTGCACAATTATAGTCTTGCAATGAAAATTGCTGAAATTCGTGAAAGATTGTCTTGGGTGTGAAAATTGGTGAAATGCTTGAATTATAGTCTTTTGTGTGAAAATTGGTGAAATGCTTGAATTATAGTCTTTAGTATAAATATTGGTGAAATCCGTGAATTGGAGACCTTGTGTGAAAATTGGTGAATTGCATGAACTTTTAGTCTTTGGTGTGAAAATTGGTGATATGCGTGAATTATTGTCTTTGGTGTGAAAATTGGTGAAATCCATGAATTATAGTCTTTAGTATAAAAATTGGTGAAATTCGTGAATTGGACACCTTGTGTGAAAATTGGTGATATGCATGAACTTTAGTCTTTGGTGTGAAAATTGGTGAAATACGTGACTTATAGTCTTTGGTGTGAAAATTGGTGAAATCCATGAATTATAGTCTTTTGTGTGAAAATTGAAGATATGCATCAATTATAGTCTTTGGTATGAAAATTGGTGAAATGCATGAATTATAGTTTTTTGAGTGAAAATTGGTGAAATGCGTGAATTATAGTCTTTAGTATAAAAATTGGTGAAATGCATGAATTGGAGACCTTGTGTGAAAATTGGTGATATGCATGAACTTTAGTCTTTGGTGTGAAAATTGGTGAAATGCATGAACTTTAGTCTTTGGTGTGAAAATTGGTGAAATGCGTGACATATAGTCTTTGGTGTGAAAGTTGGTGATATGCGTGACTTATAGTCTTTGGTGTGAAAGTTGGTGATATGCGTGAATTATAGTCTTTTGTGTGAAAATTGGAGATATGCATCAATTATAGTCTTTGGTGTGAAAATTGGTGAAATGCGTGACTTATAGTCTTTGGTGTGAAAGTTGGTGATATGCGTGAATTATTGTCTTTGTTGTGAAAATTGGTGAAATCCGTGAATTATAGTCTTTAGTATAAAAATTGGTGAAATCCGTGAATTGGACACCTTGTGTGAAAATTGGTGATATGCATGAACTTTAGTCTTTGGTGTGAAAATTGGTGAAATACGTGACTTATAGTCTTTGGTGTGAAAATTGGTGAAATCCATGAATTATAGTCTTTTGTGTGAAAATTGGAGATATGCATCAATTATAGTCTTTGGTATGAGAATTGGTGAAATGCATGAATTATAGTTTTTTGAGTGAAAATTGGTGAAATGCGTGAATTATAGTCTTTAGTATAAAAATTGGTGAAATGCATGAATTGGAGACCTTGTGTGAAAATTGGTGATATGCATGAACTTTAGTCTTTGGTATGAAAATTGGTGAAATGCATGAACTTTAGTCTTTGGTGTGAAAATTGGTGAAATGCGTGACTTATAGTCTTTGGTGTGAAAGTTGGTGATATGCGTGACTTATAGTGTTTGGTGTGAAAGTTGGTGATATGCGTGAATTATAGTCTTTTGTGTGAAAATTGGAGAAATGCATCAATTATAGTCTTTGGTTTGAAAATTGGTGAAATGCATGAATTATAGTTTTTTGAGTGAAAATTGCTGAAATGCGTGACTTATAGTCTTTGGTGTGAAAGTTGGTGATATGCGTGAATTATAGTCTTTTGTGTGAAAATTGGAGATATGCATCAATTATAGTCTTTGGTGTGAAAATTGGTGAAATGCGTGACTTATAGTCTTTGGTGTGAAAGTTGGTGATATGCGTGAATTATTGTCTTTGGTGTGAAAATTGGTGAAATCCGTGAATTATAGTCTTTAGTATAAAAATTGGTGAAATCCGTGAATTGGACACCTTGTGTGAAAATTGGTGATATGCATGAACTTTAGTCTTTGGTGTGAAAATTGGTGAAATACGTGACTTATAGTCTTTGGTGTGAAAATTGGTGAAATCCATGAATTATAGTCTTTTGTGTGAAAATTGGAGATATGCATCAATTATAGTCTTTGGTATGAGAATTGGTGAAATGCATGAATTATAGTTTAAAAATAATATAAATTATGAATTATAGTTATGAATAGTATAACTATTAGTACAAAATATGAAAATTATATATAAATATGTGTAAATATGTATAAATATGTGCATTTATGTTACTATTAGTATAGTATAGTTATTATAGTTATTGTAGTTATTATAGTTATAGTTATTATAGTTATGAATTATAGTTATAGTTAGTTATGAATTATGAATTATAGTTTATGAATTATAGTTTATGTTTGTTTTTCGCTGTTTTCGATCTGAAGACAGAGCAAAAAAGTAACAGAACCGGGTTCCGTTTATACTGCATTGGAGCGGAGTTGTTTGAAAACGTTACTTTTTCCGGAGCGATACAACCACACTTTCTAAACGTGGTGGAACGAAAACGGAACGCTAAGCATTGCCATGTAAACAGCAAACCGTTAATATTTCGCTACACTTTAGATACCATTTCTCTTTAATTTGTCCCGTGTGGTAGCGCATAGTTGAAAATGGGGAACATTTTATGTTTTGGAAAGCTTTTAATGACTGGTGTCGTTGTAATTATTAGAAATCATTGTTTTGACCAATAAACATCTAGCAATATGAAAATAAGAAATGGCGCCATCTTTCACAAACAACTAACAAATTTTGACAGCGGAATTTAAACGTGTAAAAGCAGTCAAATTTTGCCGTCACCTTTTCGCTCCGGCGTAGTGTAAACGTAGTCTTAGTATATTTAAACGCTTACAAATCATTGTCGAAGATTGAATCATACCTGCTTATGTACTCAAACAGTGATTTTCATAACTCGCTTAACGATTTCTTCTATTTTCTTTCCTCTAAAACCTTTATCTCCGAAAGTCACCTTGGCTACCTTTAACAACTGGACCAGTTCCTCTCTAAGACAGTCAATTACGTATTGTCGATATAAATAATTTCGAAACAAAATTAAAATGCTTGCGATGAAAAAGGACTATCGTATGAAAAAATGGTTGTTTTCTTGCCTCGTTTTCGACGGAAATGTCTGCGACAGTTTGTTCATCAACAGTACAAAGGGACTTGAGTCATCTTTTGTCCGTGCCATGTTATCAATATTTTCTCTCCTCGTCTTTATGTGGGACTATATGAAATAAAAAAGTGACGTAGGTGAACAATTGATATTCAAGGAATTGATAAGAAATCCAGAAGGATTCACAACATAGTTGATTTGGAGTGTTTGTTTAGGCAGTATTAGATTTGCTTTGACTTTTCACGACATGCTGTTGGGTCAAGGAGCTAAAAAACGAGTCGAACTTTTGATGAAAGTATGCATTGTATAGCAAATTGGGCCAGACATATTCTCAGTAGTGATTTGAAAAAAAATTGACACGGCCTTCTGTATTAATTTTACTTGGCTGATCAACATCTAATTAATTTAGAGATTTAATCTTGTTGCTCGTATCTAAGAATGAAAAATTAGCAAGCTATTTTCACAATTCGTCGATTTATGCTATTTGTGAAGAATGAATTGGATTTATTTATCAGTTCCCATTTCTTCATGTTGAGCAGTATCTTCTTTTGGCTTTTGTTCTAACTTATGGTAAAACACCATTAGAGAATTGGCTAGTTAATTTGCAATTCATATATGCTTCATGTCAATGCCGGATTAAGGGGTGGACATAATAGATCAAGGTCCTTGGCCAAAACACCAACAAAAAAAGAGAAAAGGGATCGCCCACCTGATTAGTCAAATTGCTTACTGATAATACAAGTGACGACAACAGGACAAATAGTCCAATGTCTGTAATAACAATGGACTAATGGTGTCAGTTTTGAAAACATGTACGCCTTTTTATACAAAAAAATCATTGATAAATAAAAAGAAAAAGTATGTTTACTTCGTAATCAATAAGAGGCATGACGGATGTGTTCGGAAGCGGTATCGTAGTTATCTTTTGCACCATTTTACCAAGTTCTTCTCGATATTTCATTTTGGAATCACCAGAAAATGACCACAATAAACTGTAAACTAGATAGCGAGGTAGATATTTTTCTAGCTGATCACGCTGAAAAAGTAATCGAGTGAACCTAAGAAAACGTCATAAAAACAGATCAAATAAAAAAACTTGAAGAAAAATTTTTTGTAAATTTATTACTCTTTGAATGCACTAAAAATATACAACAATCAACTTGTATAGCAACAAAACAAAAAACTTTTCACTGGTAAAAAGTTTAAGTTCTGTCGTTTTGTTAAAATTTGTGTGCAAAATAGCAAAAATTTATTCTGCTAAATTTCTATTTTCTAGGCACTCGAGTATTAAAAAAGGGAAAAACACTTTAATCCACAAATCAAAGACAAAACTAAACATAAAAAACATTATGATAAACACTGTTAAACGAGCCTGCATAGCTGGAGACAACACGTTTTCTTCCGTTTTTCTGCTCTGTTTTCTCAAAGTGATGTCCTCTTCGATCTCCTCTATTGGCATGGCCTTCAACTCACTCGGGAAATTATCAAAAATCATTTCTGTTGATACGATATCTTCACTAAACCACACCATTCCACATCTACTGACAGTTG